CCCGGCAGCTGCAGGAAGGTCTCCCCGGAGCCTCCTCTGCTCCAGGCTGAGCCCCCCCAGCTCCCCCAGCCTGTTCTCCCAGCAGAGCTGTTCCAGCCCTCGGAGCGTTGCTGGGGCCTCCTCTGGCCCCGCTCCAGCAGGTCCGTGTCTCTCCTGTGCCGAGGGCTCCAGCACCACTGCCTTGCTGCAGCCTTAGAGATGCCTGCAGGAAGGGGTGGGAGTCCCTGGGTCCTCGGGGAGGACAGCTTCCCAAAACAAACCTCAGCCCTGCACTTGGAGGGGAGGGGATGGTGGCAACAGCCCCTACAAGGGTTGGGAGTAGTGACAATCCATCCGGCCCGGCAGATGAGGTGTCCTGCATGCCACACGGGTGGCATGGGCTGTGCCGAGGGCAGTGTGGGACCCCCGGTGCATGGACGGTGGCTCTGGGGCCAACACCGACCGCCCCAGAGGTGACGACTGTGCAGACTCACATTGTTCATCCTGTCAACAGTCGTGCTAAGGAGAAAGAGCGTATTGACGCTGATGCTCTGGACGCTGTCACTAGTGAGGTCATCGACATCCAGTGGCTGCTTTTTGGGTTGCTGGAAGAGAGGGAAAGCGCACCGGGAAGGTGGGCAGGGGGCGCCAGCCGCAGGCAGCTGGGAGCAGCTCTGGGTGACTCCTTCAGCAAACACGTTTCCCAAGCTGTCGAGACGGCACGCCCGGCAAACGGCACGCCAGAAGGAAGGGGCAGAACCCAAAAGCCTCCTGGCCCATCTCCAGCACATACTCCAGCTTTACCCACGGAGCTCAGGTGCTGCAGAGCTCCCGCAGCCCAAACCATCACCCCTGCTCCACTTCGAGGGGGAAAGGGATGAGCCCCAGGGTGCTTTTAGTCATGCCCGCGTCTCTGCAGCCCAGCTAGACAAGCAGGACTGGAGGCAGCCAGCCTCCCACCCGCCAGAGAGGGCACCAGCCTGACCCAGCCTGGCTACACGGCAGGGCACGGAGCTGGTGGGAGGCGGAGGTCCTGCCAGCGCAGCCCCCGAGTCCTGGATGACATCCTTCGGACGGAGGGACAGCGGACCCAATGGCATCTCTCCCGCTCTCAAGGTTTGCCCCCACTCCTCCTTGCTCCAGAGGCCAGAACCACAACACGGCATCGAGGGAAAGATGGGGAGGAAGCTGCAGTGCTGCTGCACGAGGGCTGGGGCAGTGGGGATGGCAAGGGGGACATCCTGAGGGTCTGCGTGGGGAGCTTGCACACAGGCACAACCGTGAGGGTATAGTCGGTTTGGACACTTTGGTCCTAGAGCAAGGGCTGCCCTGGGGAGGGCTCAGGGTCAAGGCTGCAGGTGAAGAGAAGCAACCCAGGCAGGCTTCTCCCAGCCACGCCGCTCCACTGAGGGGACCGGCGGCCCGAGGCTGGATGGGAGAGCTCTGCAGGATGCGCTGCGCATCCAGAGACCCGGGCGCTGGGCTACCTCCACCACGGGTCTGCCTAAATCAGTGCCGCAGTGAGCCAGAGGCACGCACCGCTACTGACAGGCACTCGCCCAGTCCTGGCGGGTACCTTTCTTTAGGAGTTTCACCCTGCCTGGATGTGCTTACCGCATCCGAGGGAAGGGCGCACTGGCGGACGAGGAACTCCATCATGGCCTCCCCGCCGGGCTGCTCCAGGTAGCCGTGGTGAGCCATGGCGCTGATCACCTGCACCACGGCCCGTTTCACCTGCACGGGCAGAGCAGCGGCACCAGCATTGGGACGGGGCGGAGGGGGGGAAGCTGCGAGCCGCGTG